AAGGAAGGAAGGAAGGAAGGAAGGAAGGAAGGAAGGAAGGAAGGAAGGAAGGTTGGTTCTTCTAGAGCTTCACTTTATCCCCAAAGTACTACGATTTGCTTTGGGATTTTTAAATTTTCAGAGCTAGTATCTCTCCAAAGATATTTGTTGTTTATTTGTTGTTGTTGTTGTTGTTTGTTTTTTTGAGAAGATGTTTCTCTGGCTGCCCTGGAACTCACTCTGTAGACCAGAATGGCTTTGAACTCACAGAGATCTGTCTGCCTCTGCCTCCTGAGTACTGGGATGAAAGGTGTGTACTACTGTGCCCAGACTTTTGTGTGTTTGACACAGGGTTTCTCTGTATAGCACTGGCTGTCCTGGACTCGCTTTGTAGACCAGGCTGTCCTCAAACTCACAGAGCTCTGCCTGTCTCTGCCTCCTCGAGCACTGGGAATACAGGTGTGTACCACCGCCCCCAGCTCAAAGGTGTATTTTTGTAAACTAAAAGCTCTTGTGTTTAATTCAAATTTCTTTCTTAATTTACTCCTTTAAAAAATTTTTTTGGGGAGCTGGACATATGGCTCAGCGGTTACAACACTGACCGCTCTTCCAGAGGACTGGGCTCAATTCTTAGCACCCACATGACAACTTCTACCTGTCTGTAACTCGAGTTCCAGAGCTTCTGACACCCTTACATAGACATACATGCAGGCAAAACAGCAATTCACAATAAAATAAAATATTTTTTTTAAAAAATTGTTTCAAGACAGGATTTCTCTGTATAGTCCTGGCTGTCCTGTAGTTGAGGCTGAACTCCAACTCAAAAGATCTGTCTGTCTGACTCATGAATGCTGAGATTACAGGCATGAGCTTCAGCCACTACTGCTGTGACTGACACCATTGCCCCGCCCCCAGCCCCTGCCTCTTTTTTCTTTAATTAAGATTTTGGTTCTGATAAACTCATTCTCAGTTTTCTACTTTTCTGCTTTACATGTCCTTGTTTTTCTGAAATTTTTACATAAAAAAAGGAGGAGCTGTTAAAACAGCTCAGCCATTAGGATGACTGGCTGCTCTTTTAGAGGATCAGGGTTCAATCCCCGGCACCCACACATTAGCTCACAAACTTCTATGACTCCAGTCCTGGGTGAGCCAACATCCTCTTCTGGACTCCATGGGTTCTACATGCGTGTGATGCACATACACTCATGCATGCATACATACATCCATACATCCATCTATGCATTCAAATAAAAGAGCCGAACACATAAAAATTAATTTATATTTCAAACCTTCTAATTCATCATAGTAGGACTTCCAAGTTATATTGTGTATATACATACATACATTTTTCACACCACACACAAACATATACATCAAATACTTAAAAAATTTTAAATTCTGGCAACCAGACAATAGGTATAAATAAGCATAAAAGCAATAGCTGTGCAAATCTTTAGACATAATCTAAATCTATGAAATTTACAGCAGGGAATTATTAAAACAGGGTCTCGGGCTGGAGAGATGGCTCAGAGGTTAAGAACACTGGCTGTTCTTCCAAAGGTCCTGAGTTCAATTCCCAGCACCCACATGGTGGCTCCCAACCATCGATAATGAGATCTGGTGCCCTCTTCTGGTGTGCAAGGGTACATAAAGGCAGAACACTCTATACCTAATAAATAAATCTTTAAACAACAAACAAACAAACAAAACCGGGTCTCATCTAGCGCAAGTGACCTCCTGATCCTCCTGTTTCTATCCTCCAAACACTGGGATTACAGGTGTGGAAGCCACTATACTCAGCAAGCATCATTCTATTTGTACTCCATCCATCCATCCATCCATCCATCCATCCATCCATCCATCCATCCTCTATCTGCCTATCTACTTACCTATCCACATAACTACCTACCTACATTTTTACTTATGTTTTTCTGGCCAGGGTTTCCCTGTATATCCCTGGCTATCCTAGATATGGCTCTGTAGATCAGGCTCATCTTAAACTCACAGAAATCTGCCTGCCTCTACCTTCCAAGTGCAGGGTTTAAAGGCATGCCCACCACCACCCAGCTCTATTTGTACTATTTTAGAGATATGATCCATCAGTTTGAATATGTACTTTCATATTTTCCAAAATCTGTATTAAACACTTTATTTGTTAATAAGAATTCACAAACTTTTACTGCTAAATATGTCTCGCTATATGATGTGTCACAATAAATTTGTTAACTCAGTTTTTGTTTATTTGTTTTGTCTGTTTGTTTTTTAAGACAGGCTTTCTCCTGTGTATAGTTCTGGTTGTCTAGAACTCACTCTGCAGACCAGGCTGGCCTCAAACTCACATAGATCTACCTGCCTCTGCCTTTTGAGTGCTAAGATCAAAGGCGTGTGTCAGCCATTAAAGGTGGCCTAGCCATAACCCAGAATTTTTAAAGGGGAAGAAAAGACCTTAATTCTTTAATCTGTAAGCAATAATACGGGGAGAAATGGCATGTTTGTCTTTGGAAGCAGTAAAATGCATCATCTTTCATAAGATTTCACAAAAGACACATTTCTTACCTGTTTGTAGAGTACTAGGAAAAGACAAGGTGACTTTTTCATCTTCATTCTGATAGTTAAATCCTGTAGCATGGATTTCTAGAAAGAGAAAGAAAAAAATTACTTCACAAATCTAACTACACTGAAAAGAACAAATCTAGACTGTCAAAATCAACATTAACAAATTTTCTACTAAACTGAATGAAATATTCTTGTTTTATAAGACAGGTGAGGCTATACAGCCCTGGCACTATGTACCCCAGGCTGAGCTTGACCTCAGAGCATAACAATCCTCCTGCTGTAACCCTCCAAGTGATAAAATAAAGCGTGTGTGTGTGTGTGTTTGTGTGTGTGTGTGTGTGTGTGTGTGTGTAGAGCTTAGAGGTCAGTATCAGGTGTCTTTCTGGATGAACCCACCTTATTTGGTTGGGGGGGGTGGCTGTCCTGGAACTCACTATGTAAACCAGGCTGGCCTCAAACTCAGAGATCTTCCTGACCCTGCCTCCCCAGTGCTAGGATTAAAGGCTTGTATTACTACACCCAGCTATCCACATTGTTTTTTGAGACAGGGTCTCTCACTAACCTTGGAGCTTACTGAGGCTTCCTTCCAGAGATCCACTTAGCTCAGCTCACCCAGTGCTTAAGTTACTGAGTGTGTGTGCCATGCCTGGCTTATTACATAGGTACTGAGATCTCAACTCGAGCCCCGACATGGCAGTTTACTCAATGAACCTACCCCAGTTTTTGTCTACAGAAACACTTCACACTGGCAAGAAGTTAATAAAACACAAAAGAATGGGAACCTGAGAACAGAACAGTCCGGTGCTGTATTGCTACGTTCCATTCCACAGGACATACTTCCAACTATAAATACAACTAGGCTATGTAACTACCGAGGAATCAAATTCCCTCTTTAAGTTTTCTCAGAAAAGAGAGTAGTCATATATCTGAACTCTCTTAAAGTAGCTTGTACTTTTGGAGCTTTTTCAATCATCTTATGCTAACAACTGTAAGTGGAGCATTCCTTAGCCCCAAATCAAAGTCTTGTGATGCCCTGAAACTGCATTTCATGACGCTTAACATAAATGGCCAAAGGAAAAATAAAAAGAGCTCAATATCATCAAGGAAATACAAACTCAAACCACCACCACTTACCACTGCACACACCAGAACGGTTGGCTTCACTGAAGTGGCAACAAAAATGTTGCCTAGAATTAAAGCTAATATTGTTGGTGCAAACATTCTCAAAGCCAACCTCGGGGTGAGGTATCAACTCGTTTCTTTAAAGATCTGCTATATCACGTTTAAGAACAACTGTTACAGAGCATGGGAGTGTAGCTCTGGTGCACAAAGCCTCAGGTTCTATTCCCCAGGACCCTCTAATATGGGACAGGTGGTGTGTGTCTATAACTGAAATCCCAGGACTCAGGACACAGAGGCAGATCAGAATTTCAGGATCAATCACAACTACATAGCGAGATCAGAGCAAACCTTGGCTACCTTAGATCCAAACAAAACAAAATGAATAATGCTCATTCTTACATGCCTTTCCTTTTTTAAAAAATAATTTTTCTATTTATTTGATTATTGTTTTTGTTTGTTTGTTGTTTATTGTTTCTTGAGACAGGATTTCTCTGTGTAGCCTTGACTGTCCTGGAACTAGCTCTGTAGGCCAGGTTGTCCTGGGTCCTGGAACTCACAGAGATCGTCTGCCTGTGCCTCCCTGCGTGGGCAACCATGCTTGGCTCCCTTTTTTAAAATACTACTTTATTCTGCATGTTTTCTTGTCGATTGTTAGGATATAATAATAGGTACTTGGGTTTTTCCCAATCGCCCTAGCTCATAACTCCACCCCCAAAGTAGGTCTTAAGAAAATAGGAAAAACTTAATCTTCCTTGCCTTTCTCTGCCCGCACCATCTCAGGAGATGCCCTGTGTCATACACAGGAGGCAGGAATGCTATATGGAGATGCCAAGAGGAATCTGGACAGACTATCCTGAATTTTCTCACCAATTTTGTTTTGTTTTGTTTTTTTGTTTTTCAAGACAGGGCTTCTCTGTTTGGCTGTCCTGCCTGGAACTTACTCTGTAGACCAGGCTGGCCTTGAACTCACAGAGACCAGCCTGCCTGCCTCTGCTTCCCAAGTGCTGGGATTAAAGGTGTGTACCATCACCATCACCAGCCTAAAATACTTTTTAAAAATTGACCTAACAGATAAATGTTTGTTAAAAATAATAGTAACACTGTTATTTGATTATATATGCCTTTAAAAAAAAAAAAAAGGTCAGTTGTTCTGAACGTGACTCATGAAATCAATAATTCTTAATAAAAATCACAGTTCACTGGAGTGAGGGAAATGGCTGAGGCAGTAAATTACTTTCAATGCTACCATGAGGATGTGACATTCGTTTGTAATACTAGCACTGAAGGGAGGTAGACATAGGAGGATGCTAGCTGAGACATGCTTGGCAGCCAATTTAACCTAATCAATGAGCCCAAGGTCCCAGTGGGAGAATGTTTTAAAAAAAACCACTCGCCTTTGATCCCAGCACTCAGGGCAACCAGGGCTACACAGAGAAACCCTGCCTTGTGGGATGGTGGATGGGGGATAGCTCCTGAGAACAACTAAGTTGATCACACACACAAATCTACAGATATAGACATTTATAAACACACAAATTCCAGCAAGTTACTTTATAAATAACAACTTAATTCTAAATTCTATATGGAAAAGCAAAAGACCCTACATAGTCAACACAGTACTGAAGAATAAAATCAAAGGACTACATTACCAAGGTTTAAGACTCACTGCATAGCTATGGTAATGAAAGCAGTGTGATTTTGGTGAGAATTATATACAAATAGATGAGAAGAACCCAGAGAGAGACAGATACAAATAATCAATCTTTGACCAAAAAACAAACAACAAATACAAAATAAAATACAATAAAATAAAATAAAAAATAAAATTAAAGCCAGGATTACTCCTGTAATCCTAGCACTTTGGGAGGCAGAGGCGGGCAGATCTCTGTGAGTCTAAGGCCAGCCTGGTCTACAAAGTGACTGCAGGACAGCCAGGGCTACACAGAAAAACCCTGTCTTGAAAAACCAACAAAACAAAACAATACAACAGAGAAATGGCAGTCTCAACAGCCACTGGAACAAAACATTCACATGCAACAAAACAAAAGCTTACACACTCATAATGAACCATCTACCTAAATGGAAAGCATGAAACTCCCAGAATGCAACACAGGAGAAAAATCAAAATGAATTAAGTATGGTGATAACTTTTTAGCCACAACACCAAAGACACGAATCCATGAAAGAAATGACTGATAAACTAAACTTAAATTAAAATTAAGCAAGTGCTTTCCAAAAGACACTGTCAAAATGAAACATTAAGCCATAAAATGGGAGAAATATTAGGAAATCTATCTGACTAAAGAGTTTTATTCTTAAAACGACACAGTAACAGAGCTGGAGCAAGTACAGCTGTAAGCCCAGCACTAAGAGTCTGAGGCTGGCCTGGGGCACATACCTGTAATCCCAGCACTTAGGATGCAAGATGATCAAAGGACCGTGCATGTGAGACAACCCAAACGATACAGTGATGCCTTCTCCCAAATCACCACTACCACCACCATAAAGTGGGCAAAGAAAGGATGGCTTATACCTATAGTCCCAGCTACTTCAGGAGCCACAGTAGACGCTGGAGCTACATGTCAGTGGTAAAGCACAGATTAAATATATACAAAGTACACTGGGTTAGATCCCCAGAGATCTAAACCGAAAAAATATGAAAATAGGCACACAGTACATCATCACAGAAATTTAAATAAAAACCACCACATATTCCTACATACGTATTAGAATGTCCAAACTCCAGAATATCAAATTCTAGCAAGGTGGTATAGCAACAGAAACTCCTTCACTGTTCACAGAACAGCAACTTTGGAAGCAGAAGTTGCTTACAAACCGAATACCCTCGGTATGGTATCATATAACTCCAGTTCTAGCGCTGGGAACATAGAAGCAGGAATCCAAGGTCATCCTTGGCTATATATCAAGTACAAGGCCAAGCTGAGCTATATTATATATTAGACCCTGCCTCAGAAAGATGGAGATTTCATTTTCTTTGTACCATTGTACATTACCCATCAATTATATTCTTTGGTATTTATACAAAAAGGACTAGAAACTTTTAAGTTAAAAAAAAAAAACCTGAATATGGATGTTTACAATTGTTTATAATTCATAAATGCCAAAATTTGAAAGCAGGCAAAACATTCTGCTAAGTAAATAAACTGTAGCCTATGCAAAACACACACATTTGTTTGAGACAGGGTCTCATTATGCAGCCCTGGCCAGACCTTACTCTATGTAGACCAGGCTGGCATAACTCACAGCAATCTACCTACCCCTTCCTCCTCCCAAGTGCTGGGATTAAAAGCCTATACCACCAAATCCTGTTGGAATATTATTCAGTGCTAAAAGGAAACAAGTTACTAAGCCACAAAAAGATAAAATTCCAATGTAAACTATTACAGTAAAAAGAGCCAATCAGGAAAGAGTGCATACTATATGATTCCTACAGTGACACTATAGAGAAGACAAAACTATGGGCACAAGGCTGGCGAGATGGCTCAGCAGCTAAGCACACATACTGCTCATCCAATTCCCAACACCCTCATCAGGCAGCTCACAACCACCTGTAACTCCAGCTCCAGGGGTATCCTACACTCCTTAGCCACTGTGGGTACCTACAATCAGATATACATACCTACAGAGAGACACACATACATATCATTTAAAAATTAACAAAAACCAGAAGATGGGGGAGGAATAAACAGGTAAGAGTACAGATGGATTTTAGGGTAGTAAAACACTTCCTTACGATTCTACAATGGTAGGTACTTTTCATCATCCAATTGTCAGAACCCACAGATAGTATACCAAGAGTGAAGCATAAACAGACCTTAGATGATGATGTTTCCAAAATTTATCAACTGGAACCACTAATTCCACCCCGGGTACAGCATGCTGACATTAGAGGAGCTACTGAGTATACAGAGCAGGGATTATATGGGAACTCTCTG